TTTATGCGTATGAGTATATTGCCTGCATGCATGTAAGTGCACCCATGTTGTGCCATACCCTTGGAGGTCAGAAGAAGACATCAGGTCCCCTGGAACTGGAGCTACAGATGGTTAACCCTCATGTGGGTGCTGGGAATCCAACCCGGGTCCTCTGCAAGAGCAGTCAGTACTCTTTTAACTGCTGAGCCACCTCTCCAGCCCCAACTATTTAAAAATTTAAAGCATTAATTATATGTAAGAAACTTAAGATGTGACAAATTTCCTAACTTTAAAGACTGATAATCACATTCAATACTGGAGTATGTATTACGTATATAATAGGTGTTAAACAATGATATGGACAGTGATATTTCAAATGTTAATGATGAATCAGTTATAAAAGGTTTCACCAAGGACAGAGTATGTTGTATCTTAAAGACAAGCAAAAGAGGTAAGATACTGTCCTAAGTGTTAAGTTTGTGTTTATGTACTAACTTTTTCAGGCACAAATTTAAATAAAGAGATGCTGTTGAAGGGCTTCAAGTGACAAATTATGGAACAACAACAACAAAAAAATTAGAGTACTGGATAGAGAAGTAGGATTTTATTTGTTCTCCCTTTAGCTATGGCTGGCCTGAAATTCTGTATGTAGACCAGGCTGGCCTTGAATTCACATAGATTCACCTGCCTCTGCCTCCCAAGTGCTGGGACTAAAGGCATGTGCCACCAGGGAGACAGGGCTTCTTGTATCCCAGGGTAGCCTTGAACCTTGAACTTTCTAAGTAGGTGAGGGTGACTTTGAACTACTTACTCATCCCCCTTGTCTTCCCTGAGTGCTGAGATAATAGGTATCAGGCCTGGTGTCATGGCACATGCCTTTAAGCCCAGTCAGAGGCAGGGGGATCCCTAGTGCTGGGATTAAAGGTGATGCCACCACGCCCAGCTGACACTTTATTTTTTTAAAAGATTTATTTTATGTGTATGAGTTTATGCCTGTATGTATGTAAGTGCACCTGTGTCATGCAAGAGGAGGACAGTAGAGGGCATTGGATCCCCTAGAACTGGATGGTTACAGATGGTTGTTAGGTGCCATGTGGGTGCTGGGACTTGAACCCTTGTCTTCTGGAAGAACAGCAAGTATTCTTAACTGCTGAGCCATCTCTTCAGCCATAGATAATTGACATTTTAAATGCAAGTTTTTTAACATGTTTATGGGAAGTAAGTTGTTTTGTTTTGTTTTGTTTTGTTTTACAAGTAGGTATTATCAGCATCCTTTTCCCAGCTAATTGAATTTTTTTACTTTTCAGAGGTCTCTAGACTAGTATGTATAGTCTTCTCATACAGTCAAGGCTATTTGGATAATGAGAGTTGCCACTAATAGTTACTTGAATGTAAGTACAATAGAAAAGTTAATGAAAAGCATTACAAAAATAACCTCCATTTATTCAAAAGGAAAAAGAGTAAACAGAAATGGAAAAATATGAAGAGAAGTAAAATAGTGGTTTCCAAATCTTGTAAATGAGGCCATCAGACTATTGATGATGATGATGATGATGATGATTTTTTGGTCTCTTTGAGACCAGGCTGGGCCTGTCTTAGAGGACTGGGATTAATTAAACGTGTGTGCCACCACACCCGGCAGACTATTGATAATTTATGAAGGTAGAAGCATTGTTTGAATGCTTGTGTGGGCTAAGGCACATTCTATTTGTGTCCTGAAACAATTTGTAATATGAAGGAAGAAAATATAGCTGCCAGACATGTCTTCTGCAATTAAGATGGATTGATTTTTGCTGGGTATTGTGGTGCACACCTTTAGTCCCAGCACTCAGGAGGCAGAGGCAGGTGGATCTCTGTGAGTTCAAGGCCAGCCCGGTCTACATAGTGAGTTCCAGGCCAGCTGGGGCTACAGGGAGACCGTCTCAAAAAGACAAAAACAAAACAAAAAATAAATTTATGTTTTATTCTCCTCTTAATATTTTATTTGCCTTTTCTTATTACTGCTTGAGAGATGTGGATAAAAGACAAAGTTAATCAGAGGAAATTGGATACGGTTAGAAATAAGGAGAAATAGGAAATAGAAATCCAATAATTGTTCACTTTGTGTTGTCACTCAAGTTGTCTTTTTGTCTTTTTTTTTTTTTTAAGGGGGAGGCAAGTGTTTATCTTAAAGGTTATAGTTTATCATTGAAGGAAGTCAAGGCAGGAACTTAGTGCAGCAGCCTGAGACAGAAACTAAAGCAGAGACCATGGAGGAATGCTAGTTATTGGCTGGCTCATCTGCCTGTGAATGGCACCACCCACAGTGGGCTTGGCCCCTCTATATCAATTAGCAGTCAAGGGAATGCTCCACAGACATGCCCTAAGTCCATATTTTGTATATATATTTGCACACACGTGTGTCATGCAGTGCCTGCAGAGGTCACAAGAAGGCGATAGATTCCCCTGGAACTGGAGTTACAGATGGTTGTTAGCCACTATGTGGGTGCTGGGACCAGAACCCATATCCTCTGCAAGAGCAGCCAGTGCTCTTAACTAGAACTTACTATGTAGACCAGACTGGCCTCAGTCTCACAGAGATCTGCCTGCCTCTGCCTCCCAAATGCTAGGATTAAAGGCATGGGCCACCATGCACTGTGATTTAAAAAAAAAAAAATTATTATTATTATTTTTTTTGGTCTTTTTGAGACAGGGTCTCCCTATAGCCTCAGCTAGCTGTCCTGGAACTCACTATGTAGACCAGGCTGGCCTTAAACTCACAGACTCACAGAGTAAAATTTTTTAAATTTAATTTTAATTACATGTGTCTGTGTTAGGGATATGTGTGTGTACATGAAGGTCCCCACAGAAGCCAGAAGAGGGTGTCAAGTCCCCTGAAGCAGGAGTTACAGGCAGTTGTAATCCATGTCTTGTGGGTACTGGAAACCAAAAATGGATTCCCTGAAAAAACAGGAAATGCTGTTAACCACTGAGCCCCTCACATTACAGTGTTAATATAGGAAAGCAAAATAACATAAAAATGCAGAATAAGCTTATTTTAACTACTGTTGTACTGCAAGTATGTATGTGCCCATTGTATAGTAAGCTCGCTCACAACTTAATACATGTGATTGTACTATTAGGAAATTAGAAATCTTTTTTTTTTTTTTTTTTTTTTTACTAAAAAAAAGATTGTATTAGAAGCATTCAGATTGTCAACAAAACAGCTGCAATTTTTTTTTTTTTTGCAATTACAGAGTGGTATTCAGTTAACAGAACAGTTATTTTTGTATAAGCTGCATCAGTGACAACTAAAGATGAAAAAACTACATCCCCATAGATAACTGATCTGTGCTGTGCACCAAGAGCCTGCTTTAAATTCTCACACCAGTTTATAGCCCCCATACTGTACCAGGCAAGGCTAGTGGCTGTTGAAAATACCACCAGGACAGAACAGGGCTATCTAAAGACACATTTCGTAGTATGTTAACTATACAAAAAAAAAAAGGAAAAAAAAGACACTGTACAGTTTAAAAACAAGTCTTACAGCCTTACATTTCAACTTTTTTTTGTCTTTTTGAGACAGGGTCTCCCTGTAGCCCCAGCTGTCCTGGAGCTCACTATGTAGACCAGGCTGGCCTTGAACTCACAGAGATCCACCTGCCTCTGCCTCCTGAGTGCTGGAACTAAAGGTGTACGCCACCATGCATGGCCTCAGTTTTTTTCTTTAAAACGAGTGAGTTGTGTACAGGAGGGTTAAATGCTTTATAGACAAGGAAAAAAAACTGTACTAGAACAAACTTAATCATCAGCTTCTTCATCTTCCTTTTTCTTGCTCTTTTCAGTCTTGGCAACTGCCTTTTTTGCAGCATCAGGTTTTCCTTTAGCTCTGTAGGCAGCAGTATCCTATTTGTATGTCTCCTTCGGCTTGTTCAGGGTCCGAAAAATTCCCTGAATTGACCACTTGGACACTTGAGACTCAGGAGAACTTAACTGCTTTATTGAAACTGACTGGCCGGGGACGTAGGCAAGCTCAGGAGCTACACTGCGACCCAAAGCTGTGGAAACACAGGCCTTTTAAGCACAAAAACCACAGAGCAGGGGATTTCTATAGAATCCATAAACAAAAGAACCAGGAAAGGATTTGAACAATCTAGGGCTGATTTCCAGAGCCTTAACCTATGCAGCCATTGGCTAGCTTACTTGGGGCAGAACGTTCTTCCTCTTCTGCCCCTGGACCATTTCCATAGAAACCATAAACAGATGTACCAGGAAAGGGTTTGAACAGTGGAGGGGATTTCCAGAGTCAGGTGGAGGGCAGCTCTTTTTCAGAGGACAGGGAGGGGGTCTGAGGGGCACTCTCCTTCAGGCTTAGTGGCCTTTTCTCATAGGCTGCTTGTTATCTGAAGCAGTGTTGTTCCACATCTCTTCCTGTTTCTTTGCAACATCACCAATAGATAAGCCCAGCTCCTCTTTGATTTTGGGGAGATACTCAGAGCAGAACAAGAAGAGAGGGGATGTAGGCCTCTTGGGTACATTGGAATCTTTGAACTTCTTTTTTGTTTCCCCTTTAGGAGGCATATAGGTTTTCATTTCTCTTTCATAATGAGCCTTGTCAGTCTTTGCCATGTCTTCAAACTTTACTTTTTCTTTAGCAGGCATGGTCTTCTACTTCTCTGAGCACTTCTTGGAAAACTCTGAGAAATTGACAGAAGCGTCTGGGTGTTTCTTCTTGTGCTCCTCCCAGCAACTTTGCACAAAGAATGCATATAATGACATTTTGCGTCTTGGCTTCTTAGTTGTTTTTCCTCAGCGAGGCACAGAGTCGCCCAGTGCCTGTCTGGCTCTCACTTGACCTGGCACTGTCTGTATAGAGCTCAATGTACTGCAGTAGCTATGAGAACGGCAGCCAGACACAGCCTCCTCACTCTGCTCTGTCGAAATCTTTAAAAGTCTTAAAGATTTCAGGAAAATAGAACTGTAAGTATGTTTAAAATGTGAATGGTGATTAATCATAGATTTTTTTTTTTTTTTTTTTTGAGACTGGGGAGAAGACTCAGTGAATACAGTGCTTACCACACAATTGTGAGGACTCAAGTTTGGATTCTCAGAACACACATAAAAAATCCAGGAGATCAAGGTGGCCAGCCTGTAATCCCAGTGCCTGGAGGCAGAGGCCGGATCCTGGGGCAAGCTGGCTGGCTAAACGGGTGAATTGGTGAGCTCCCTGTTCAGCAGGAGACACTGCCTCAGTAAAGAAAGTGGAGTTTGATTGTGGAAGCCACCCGGTGTCAATCTTTAGCTTCTACACTCACACATAACAGGTACAAACATGCATCCCCATACATGCATGCACACCACACACATGCAAAAAAAAAAAGAATGTTTTGAGAATGTTTTCTTTTGTCAGGCACAGTGGCGCACACTTTTAATGCCAGAGGCAGAGGTCGGCGGATCTTTGTGAGTTCCAGGCCAGCTGGGGCTACAGGGAGAACCTGTCTCAAAAAGACCCCTCCAAAAGAATATTTTGTTCATACACCACACCATAATAAACAGAGAAGACTTACATGACCCCAGAGGTGTGGAGATTTCTACCCACCAACAGTTAAGCAATGAATTCAGTAGAAATCAGACACTATCTTGGTGTCCTAACTCAACTCAAATCTTGAGACATCATCAGGTCCTATAAGTTGAGCACACATAGTCCTTAAAACTGCCCTTACTACAATTGGAAGTTTGTGGTTGTTTCGCAAGTGGTTTTTGACACAACTGGCTATAACTAGCTTCCCTCTCCCTTTTCTGAATTCATTTGTTTTGAGCAGTTCACAAAACTAAAACTCATGGAAACATCATTTTCTGATTTGTTATGGAGAATATTACAAAAGGTGCAGGGTGAAGAGATGGTGAGATATTTGGGAAGGGGTGTAAGGCTTTCATGCCCTCTCTGAGCATGCTGCCTCTAGGAACCTCAGTGTTTACACGTATCTGCCCCTTTGGATATTTATGGAGATTTTATTTGCATTGTCATGAATTAAAGAACAGGATGTGATCTAATACTGATAGTGGGAAACCTAGTGAGGCCTGTCTAGAAACATCTTGACCTCTGCAGCATTCTCTCTTCTGGGGTGTTGGGGCTATCATTTCTGTTGTTTCAGGTTGAGCAGCTTATGCTTTAGTGGGAATTTTTTTTAAAGTAGGATTTACTGGCATAAGAAATAAGGATTTTCATGAAATGAGGGGCAGGGGTGTCTCTATGGTCTACTGTCAAACAAGGTGGGGCTGAGAATTTCTTTATGGTCAGCAGCTCCAAAAATGGGAAATATAAGACAGACATTTTGGTTCGCATGGCTCACCTTTTTGGAAAAAAAATTCTAGTTCCTTTGATCTGCCATGAGGAGAAAAGGATCAGGTGAAAGAGATTAAAAGTCAGATAGAGGCCCTGCTTTCTGAGGCTTAATGAGCTCCATTATTCTAAATCATTTAGGAAGGAATGTTGGCCATGGGAGTAATGGGCCAAGGCACCATGGGCAAAATCCAAAACTTACCATAATATCGCTGATACATGAATTATCAAATATAGCAATAAAATGATCTTGTAAACTTTTGTGTGGGGCTCAGTTTTTACATGGGATACTGCAGACTTTTTATTGGGATGAGGGTTAGGATTTTTAGTTCTCTGGCTTTATTTTCAGTTTGGGTTTCTACAAAGGATTTCTGTCAGTTACCCTACCCTTGCATGCTAAGTCCATAGCAAAAGCTAGGGCAAAAGTTAAGCTTTCAGTACCAAGTAGGGTTTTAAAAAAAAATCCCTTACAAAAGTATCATGCCAGTCTTTACCTTTTCATTCATTTTTTTTAAAAATGCAGACTTGGGATTTTAGTAAATACACTTTAATATGTTTAAGCATTAGGATTAATTGAGAAAGAGGCATTTGGAGAGAAGGACATGGCTGAGAGCGTGAGTGTAGGCTTCTTGGAGGCACTTGTCACTTTGGATTCCATGATTGTTGCCAGTGTGCAGTAAGTGGTGGGGACAGGGAGGAGAGACCGTGAATAGCCTTATTTCTCTAAGTTCCGGACAAACTTAAAAAGACCTTTTTAAGTTAAGCTGTGGGCAATTTATTTATGTTGACTTTAACCCTTTCTGTTTTACATACTTCTGTTACACAGTGAATAATTAAAAAATATTTTTCTTTTTGATTACATGGACATTACTATATGAAAATGTTTCATATTAAATGCTTGCATTTTCCCTTAGTTTCCATGGTTTTCAGTCTTCTAAGCCATGAATAATTAATCCACGAGGCCTAACTTAAAAGTTACAAAAGTAAAGCCTATTGCAGGAAACTCAGACGATCTGCTGCTCATCGTTGGATAGAATCCATTTAAATTAGTAGTGAGTTTCTCAATTTCCTTTAAGATTTGTTTTTTAACTGTATGTTTTCTTGATTTTTTACCCAGGTTATAAAATGTTCTCCTGTGCCTGAGACCTACAGACTACATGCTCTTCAGAACTAATTAATGGTTTTTCATCTCTTGGAGTTGCATGAGAAGCATAAATATGGTGCCAAAACTCCTTTTCATTCTCTGATTGCTGTTGATTTGGACATACTTCTGTGTTGAAGAGAAGTTTACACACTGAGGCTGTTCATTGTTCATAGACGGGTGTAGATCATGGACCATTCTAGTAGGGAAAAGGATGAAAGACAACGGACAACTAAAACTATGGCACAGAGGAGTACACACTGCTCCCGACCATCTGGCACCTCAACATCCTCTGGGGTTCTCATGGTGGGACCCAACTTCAGGGTTGGCAAGAAGATAGGGTGTGGGAACTTCGGAGAGCTCAGATTAGGTAAGAGGTTGGTTATGTCAGTGACTTCCACAAACATCGCTAACAATTGCGGTCATCTTTGGTATGTTTCAGGTTCGGCAGTTTATGCTTTAGCGGGAAATTTCTTTTTGTTTTTGGTCTTTTTGAGACCAGGTCTCCCTGTAGCCCCAGCTGGACTGGAACTCACTTTGTAGACTAGGTTGGCCTTCTGCCTCCTGAGTGCTGGGATTAAAGGTCTGTTATTTTTATTTTAGGTGTGTGAGTGTATTGCCTGCATGTGTATAAAGGGGGCTATAGCTATTATCAGTCATGATGTTATTATCCAAGGCTTATCTCGCTTTATGTGTGATATGTTGTTAAATTTTCCACCAATTCATAGGTTTTATGTTTTTAAAATTTTCAAAGATTAAAAAAATTATTTTTCAAAGATTTTATTCATTTTTATTTTATGTATATGAGTGTTTTGCCTGCATGTATGTAAGTGTACCTGTGTATGCAATGTCTGAGACCAGAAGAGGGTGTCAGATCCTCTGGGACTAAAGTTTGGGATGGTTGTTAGCTGCCATGTGGGTGCTGGGAAGTGAACCCAGGTCCTCTGCAAGAGCAGCCAGTGCTCTTAACTACTCAGCTATCTCTCCAGCCCAGTTAATTTGCTTTTGAGAAAGGTTATCACCATGCAACACTAGCTAGCCTGAAACTCAGTATGTAGACCAGGCTGATCTTGAGCTCATGGAGATCTTCCTGTCTCTGCCTCCTGAGTGCTGGGAACACAGGCATGTGCCATCACTCCTGGCAGAAAACTACATACCTTATAAATGTAGATCAGCTTGGAGAACATTAAAAAGATCTTGACTACATCCTTTTTTTTTTTTGGTCTTTTTGAGACAGGGTCTCCCTGTAGCCCCAGCTGTCCTGGAACTCACTATGTAGACCAAGCTGGCCTTGAACTCACAGAGATCTGCCTGCCTCTGCCTCCCAAGTGCTGGGATTAAAGGTATGTGCTACCACGCCTGGCTTGCATCTTTTTCTTAAGAAGTATTTATTTTTACTTACGTATCTGTGTGAGTATATATCTTGTATATGTGGGTTCCTGCAGAGACTAGAATTGGGCATTAGAGCTTCTGCAGCTGGAGTTAGAGGTGGTTGTGAGCCACCTGATGTGGGTACTAGGAACTGAACTCGGGTCCTCTGCAAGAGCAACAAGCGCTAGTAAGTGTTGATTGATGTCTCCAGTTTCTTCTTTTTCTTAATAATGGTTGAGGTTATGTATCATTATGAAAATTCTCTGTAAGGAACTTTTAAAAACTCTTGGAGGAATGGGAGAGTAGCAACATGATATGGTTGTTATTTGGTACCTCTGCTACTTCTAATGATTCTGTTTAAAAAAAAAAAAAAAAAAAAAAGGAAAACAAATCTTACCTATGTTTTACCCTTTTCATTCTTTGGAGAAAAATCATAAGCCATTGAATTTAAAGATTCTGAGAATGAATTGATTTAATCACAGAAGGCTAGCAACCTGGAGTTGGACCTGGCCAGGGTAATGAAAAGGCCTTTATATTTAGAAATGTGTTCATATTCAGGATAGCAAAGCCAGCAGATGCTATGAGAATAGAAGTACGATGTGTCGTTTCACATTGCGTGACTTCCTAGCAACCACTCAGTTACTTTAGTAACTAGTTTTGCAAGTATTCATTTATGCAATGGATTAGCTTTGTTTTACCATCATTGTACTACTTTGCATTAAATATATTATGGAATATACATTCACGTTATTGCTGAGAGGCAGTTTAATGCATATAAACTTCTGCATTCTCATAGAGTCAAAAAGTTACTTAATTTGGGGAAGAGAATGAAAAACATTGACAATCTGGTGTGGTGAACACTTTTAATCCAAGTACTCCTTTTAATTTCCGCACTCAGGAGGCTAAGGCAGGCAGATCTCTGTGAGTTCAAGGTCATCTTGGTCTATGTAGTGAGACATGTCTCAACCTTCCCCCAACCAGCCCCCAACAAAACTGGAAATTTATTTTCTGAAGTCTAAGATCTATTTTGTGAGTTTACAGGAAAATGGGAAAAAAATCCATTCACTTAAAAAGATAAATTTGTGAGCTGAAGAGATGGTTCAGTGGTTGAGGGTGTACTGTTTCTGCAGAGGAATCTGGTTCAGTTCCTAGCACCCATGTCACGGGGCTCACAACTGCCTGTAACTCCAGCTCCAGGGGATCAAATCAATGCCTTTGGCCTCCTCTGGCACCCACACACAGACACATAACTAAAAATAAATCTTAAAAGAAGATAAACGTGTGGTCCTTATATTTTAGAGTAGTAACATTTTTGTTTTCTCTTGTAAATCTAGAATAATTTTCATTTCTCTCTCTGTATCTCTGTCTGTCTCTCTACCTGTGTGCTGCCTACCCTCCCTCCCCACCCCCCACCTGCAACCTAGTCCTCACTTATACTCTCATTGTGTCTGCTTCAGCCTCTAGAGTGCTGGGCTTATAGGCTGCTGTTTCTTGTTTTAATTAGCCTTGTAGTTAGTAGAAAGAGCTTCACAATTGACTTTATTCTTGTGTTAACCATAAAGTAGGTTATGTACCCCATCTCTCTCCTCTTACCTTAGTGTAAGTTGAAGATACACAGTTAACAAAATGTGAAGTAGGAAGGGTTAAATTCAAGCAGCCAAGTGCATTTCTGCTTCAGTTCTTTGTGCCTGAAGAATCCATCCCTAAAATTTTGTAGATCTAGTTTTTTAAATTTTTGTTTATTTACCTTTTTTGCAGACAGGATCTAACTCTGGAGCTACAGCTCTGGTTGACCTGAAAAACTGTGCAGATCAGGCTAGCCTCAAACTCACAGAAATCCTCCTGCCTCTGCCTCCCCAAGTTCTGGGATGAAAGATGTGTGCCACCACACCATGCTCTTTCCTGTCTTTGAGGCTTTAGCTTCTAAGTCACTTTGTCAGATAAACTTGTGACTTTTTCTCCACTCTGATTTCAACTATCGTATTTCTCTTACAGCATGTTCTTCCCCATCAAATTTCTTTTTGTATTTATTTACTTGTTTGAGACATGTTAAATTCCCTTAAAAAGAATATCCTCTCAAAAAAAGAAGGCTGGATGTGGTGGCACATGGCTTTAGTCCAGCACTTGGGAGGCAGAGACAGGCAGATCTCTGAGTTCAAGGCCAGCCTGGTCTACATAGTGAGTTCCAGGACAGCTGGGCTACAGGGAGACCCTGTCTCAAAATGACCAAAGAAAAAAACCGTTCCTAGTCAAACTGGAAATTTATTTTCTGAAGTCTAAGATTTATATTGGGAGGTTATAGGAAAATGGAAAAGAATCTATTCGCTTAAAAAGATAAAATTTGGGGGCTTGAAAGCTGGATGGATCAGTGGTTAAGAGCACTGGCTGCTCTTGCAGGTTCAATTCCCAACACCCACATGATGGCTAACAACCATTCATAATGTAACTTCAGGTCCAGGAGATCCAGTGCCCTCTTCTGACTTCTGTGGGCATTGCATGACACAAGTGCACTTACATGCCAACAATACACTCATACACATAAAATAAAAATAATAAATACAGTATTTTAAAAAAAAGATAAATTTGTAAGCTGGAGAGATGGTTCAGTGGTTGAGTGTGTACTGCTGTTGCATGGGACCCCAGTTCAGTTCCCAGCATTGAGGTACTGGAGGGATGGCTCAGTGGTTAATAGTACTGGCTGCTCTTGCAGAGGTCCCAGGTTCAGTTCTAGCACCCGCATGGTGAGTAACAGCTGTCTGTAACTCTAGATCCAGGGGGATCTGATGCCCTCTTCTGACCTCTGTGGGCATTGCATGATATGGGCACACTTACATATCAACATGCAAAACACTCATACACATAAAATAAAAATTTGTGTTGGGTGTGTGTAATATGCTACAGTGTGCATGTGTAGATCAGAGGACAACTTCATGGAATCAGTTCTCTTTTTCTACCTTTATGTGTGTATTGAAACATCATTCCTGGGGCTTTGTGAACAAATGGCATCTCCTCAGAGATGGGGAATTAATGACAGACCAAAGTAAGGGTACCTCCAAGGTGAACCAGTGAATTTTATTGGGGTTATTTATAGGAGTATGGCTGAGGAATGTTGCTTACAGGAGCCGAAATGATTCACAAGACAGTTGTATCAACCAAAAGGCTACCCTGGCATGGGCAATACAGCTCACAAAAGATGGAAACCTGGGGCCTACTATACAACGGTAGAGAGCCTACAGGTGTCTTTTCCAGGCAGCTCAGTTGGTCTGAATCTCCAGCTTGGTTGGTCTCTGTCTTTTCTAGGTGACTCATCTTGTCTGAATGTCTCTCAGCAGTCCTTACAGCTTATGCTTACAGAGGGAGAGCCTTAATGAATCTGGTCAGTTACAGGGACTTTCTGAAACATTTGAGTTGCTTATTTCCTGAGCTTAAGAAGTTTCCCTGGGGTATGGAATGTTTCACTTACCTTAAAATATCCTGTATCTTAAAGCACTTCCCTCCAAGATGGAATTTAACTGGTCTACATAGCAAATTCCAGGGCAGCTGGGGCTACAGGGAGACCCTGTCTCAGAAAGACAAGGAACAGAATGTTGACATGCCTCAGCAAGTAAATGTGTGTGCCACACAAACAGCAACTTCAGTTTGATCCCTGGAGCCCATCGAGGAAGGAGCAAACTGACTCCCAAGCATTGTACTCTGACCTCCACACATCCACACATGCACTGTGGCACACATACCCACACTGATCAAGTACATGATACATGTGGACATCATATGTACACATAATAGTAGTAAAAAAATTTTTGGGGGGGGGTCTTTTTGAGACAGGGCCTCCCTGTAGCTCCAGCTGTCCTGGAACTCACTATGTAGACCGGGCTGGCCTTGAACTCACAGAGATCCGCTTGCCTCTTCCTCCCGAGTGCTGGGATTAAAGGTGTGCTCAACCATGCCCAGCAATGAGATCTTTTAAAAAAAAAATATTTTATTATTTTTATTTTATAT